TCTCTATCCGTTAAAATAAACCTACCATAAAAATTATAGACCCTTAATTTTTTTGTAAGTGGTCAAACTTACAAAATCAGCAGGGGATCAAATAATTATTTTCCCCACTGTATATATATATATATATGTATATATATATATAGTCTGTTAATAGTATTTTTAGTAATTATGATGTGTATATATAATTACATAATTATCTAGTAATTTAATGTGTATTTTTGTCATTTTTAAACATGTATAAAACTGATTATATATAATCTGGATTACAAAATCAGATTTCAAAAATTGATTGTAGATTATATTATGTTTACGTAATATAATGTTTGAATACATGATTACATATTATTCACCCAATGGCACACAATAATAATGAATATTTTTTGATTTCCCCTAAATAATCTTTTTTAATAAAAATGTTTCATTTAAAAAAATAAAACTACATTTTTATGATTTAATAATTATTAGCATTATTACCTTACAAACCCTCTGCAGTTTCTTCGCAAACCACATTTTGGGAAACCCTGATGTATTGTAATGTTTAAAATAGAAAAAATTGAATATATTTTCTTTCTTTTTGTATTTTTATATCAATATAGTACAAGATTATCCTATTCAAATTGACGTCATAAACAAGTTAGGTCAAAAGTAATCTAAAAGTAGTCTGATTATATTGTGTAAAATGTGTAATGTAATTGTTGTTTGTTTCTAATTACAATTTTCGTCATGTCATTTGTATATTTATACAATTTATAAATAATCTACCCAGCAATGGTCCTGTCTATGATGTGAGTTATAAGCAAAAGCTCATTGGATAACACTTTATTTTAAGGTGTCCTTGTTACACGTTACATGTACTTACTATTATAATAACAATAAATTATGCATAATTACATGCAAGTAACCCTAAGCCAAATCCTAACCCTAACCATATAGTAAGTACTGTACGTGTAATTAATTAATATTACTCAGTACTTAAATGAATAATTACACTGTAACAATGGCACCTTAAAATAAAGTGTAACCACTCATCGTTTCGGTCTTGTTGTCATCTTGATACGCGTGTGAACTGATGCAAGTTTTTCACGGTTCTGTTTAGGGATGTAACTATTCACTCAACTCACGATTCGATTCGATTCACTTTTTTTTTTAACAAAATGATATTCTGTTACATCGTCGTCACCTACGTACCTCATCTGTTAATGTGTGACGTCATTCCCTGTGTTTGCTTCAAACAGAACATAGATGTGTCACGGCTGCCGGAAGAGGCTTTGTTAACAGTGCCAGATCATCACTGACAGTTCCCCGTCCCTCTCTTTCTCACACACCATTATCCCATTCCCCTTTCTTAGGAATGTAGACATTCTTACATTCCTAAATGCATCTACTGTATTTCCTAAAATCAGGGGAAATTTTTTACCGCCCAGTAAATGCATTTTGATTTACAGCTCCGAAGTGAAGAACTCTGTATGTACGGAATTCACTTTTTTTTTTTTTTATGAACTAATTCACTATGTGTTCCTGTGTTCATTGATGACGTGCCAATACTAAATTGCACTTTATCATAAATGCGCACTGATGTTTTTCAGTTCCTGCTGCACATGAATGTAACTGCTGCTATGAAAACACCAGTCACTCCAGTAGCATGTGATATTTATTTATGGTGCACAAGTTAATGCATATGTAAATTTGATTGGGTTTTGGCTGGTTAATTTGACATTATTTCTTAATGATTCATCACTTCATAGAATGTGTAGTATGTATATAACAATGGTCAAATTTTGATGAAGCAGAACCTTATCTTGGAAAGAAATTGTAGGTAATTTTAGATTTTTTTTACACCAATTTATAGTAAACTTTTCAGTTTTTTTTTTTTAAACACTAAGGAATGTTATGATGTATAACACTCTTCTTCTGGTAACTAAGAAGGAGGAGAAATCTCTACTGTAATGCCCATTTGCGATGCTAATAAAATGTATTTGAATAGTGAAATCCTGTCTCTCTTTACATTCACCCACAATACTGTCTGTCACTGAAGAACAAAGACAGAACAGCTTGTAAAACATAACGGCACCACACTGCAAAATTTGCAAACCATAAATGATGTAACATGAATATGACAGAAAAACAAGATGATATTACTGCGAGAAAGGGCAGTAATGTGATTTATGTCAATGGACTTTGACCTGAAGTCAAAGGTTAGTATCAGGATGGAGATATTGAGCTAATCATATCAGATTTTTAAAATCATATCACCTCACCTTTGGTCCCATGACCTTTGACCTCCATGCTGATTTATTGTTTTACACACGTGTGTGTGTGTGTGTGCGCTGTTTAAAACAAGTTTGCCAGTACCAGTTAAAAAAAAAAAAGCAGAAATTAAGTTATTTTTCAAAATCACAGGTTTTTTCCAATGTTATCTGTAATGTCCAGTAAAACATGACTGAATTGTTGCCTCAAACCATGTCCAAAGAGTGCTGTGGTATATAATGTGCATTTAAAACAGATCTCGACTATTTAAATGAGATTTTCTGGAGTATGACTAGTAGTATTGTTATGACCATTTTGGTGCCAGTATCACACTAAATAAATAAAGATATGTTTTGATGTAGTAGTGCATCGATATAGTAAATAGTCACAGATTTGAATTCATTGAATAGACTGTCTGTGTAACCAAATCATTTTCATACACCATGTTGACGTAACAAAGAGACAAATATTGTACAGCTACAGCAGCATCATTGGAAAAATTTTTGGAACTGTTGAAAATACAAACCGTGTTTGAATTGTATCTCCTCCTTGAATAAACCTTTTGTGGTGATTTTAGCTATATGTTGTAATATTTTGTGTGGCACTGCTACAGTAACAGCACAGTGATTTTAATGAAGGTTTTGAATGATTCGGATTTTTTTTTTTTTGCCATATACCATCTCAAAGGATATTGTTAGTCTGTGACTCAGATGCTGGGCTGCACTGCTCTTCCTGTAAGCTGCTGTATGACCGCATGTTTTCTTATTAAGACTGCTGTCATAAGAGATGTGTCCGCAGTAAATTACTTTTGTGTTTGTTTTGGTGTGTTTGAGATTTAGGAAGAGGGCCACAGTGCTAGAGGATCAGTAGAAATGTGTAGAGAAAAACAGGGTAAAAAAAATGTAAAAACAAACAAATGATAAATGTATTCAAATAGCCTAAATAATAATAAAAAAATAAAAAAATAAAAAAATAAATACAGAACAAGGGAGTGATACGGGAGCAGTGGAAACGTTTAAAGAAAAGGGTGTAAAAATATAAAAATAAATGATAAAAATCTGATAAAAATAAATGAGCAATAAAAATATTGACTTACGTGAAACTAAAATAGAGGGTTAGTGAAAATGTTTAAAGAAAACAGTATAAAAATATAAAATAAATAATACAAATAAATAAATAAACAATACATTTAACACTACAGTACTATAGCAAGTTAAAAAAAATCCAAATAATAGTTTACACATCATTATAATATTTACTTGTCAGTATAAATTGGGTCTGTATATTTAAAAATATGTAGCTGCCTTCGCATGAGGATGAGCATATTTGCGGGTCTGTGGCATTTAAAGGAGACATATAATGCCCCTTTTTACAATATGTAATAAGTCTCCAATAAATCCACTGATCCCTTATCTCCTCTGAGGCTGGGACTCGAAATAGTGTTCTGTGTTCGTCTGTGCAGCCAAAGGCCGAACAGTTAGCATGTTTTGCTGAAACTTTCGGCATGGCATTAGAACTGGTACACCGTTGTCGCTTGCGAAATCAAAATGACGGTGCCTTGGGTGGAAATTTACAGATTAAGGGGCGGTAATATTATAATGAGATCCCTTTGCCACGTCACCAAGGGAGCGAAATCAGACGCACTC